ATCCCCGCGTTGACCAGCTGTCGCACTCCCAGTAGCATCTGAGGTAGCGGATAAGTTTGTAATCAATTTAAGGACTTTTCTTCGCAGACATAAGTAACGTGTGCCCGGAACCAGCGTGTTAAGTGGGGATCACAAAGCTTTTGTAAGGTTGTCTCGTCAATTAGTAAGAGAGCTCTCTACTATTACCGAGGAATCCAAGTGAGCGTGCTTGAAGAGTCTTTAAGACTAGTTTGGACCGCATCAGAGGCATAATAAAAGCTCAAGGGAGTTATAAAAGTCTACAAAGCACAATTTCCTTGTCATTTCTTCATATACAGTTAGAACGCAATCCCAGAACGCCGAGACAGTCCCAAATAAAAGCCATTTCCCTTCGAAGACTACTAAGTTTCGAATTCTATACTGTGTCCGCACATAAAACAATACCTTTTTGTTCCAAAAAGGTCTACTAGACTTAGACAAGTGATATAAAATATACAAAAATGTTTCCCCGAACTTCTACTTAAGTTCTAACAAAACAAGTGTGGTAATTCTGTTTACTGTACGAACCCGAACTCGAAGTACCAAGCACATACCTGTGGTGATAAGTGTTTAAGGTGTTTGTGTGTGTGAGTGTTGTTTAGGTGTTCACACATCTTGTCAGCGCGTCCGATTACACTATTCTCACTCCCGCGTGCCACAGTCTTCTCACCAATATTACCAGTTAGAATATCCTGAGAAAGTGCGACACTTTTTCTTTTCAGGAACATTCTGATTATATTTAAAGTATTTCATGTCAGGAAAATCCGGGCCAAGAACTTTGCTTTGCCTTTACCACACCTGTAAAGGGTGAACAAAAGCTGAAATATTCAAACCATTTTCATGTTAGTGAAATTGTAGTAAAAGTTAGACCGATGGGTAAGATTAAGAGGAAAGCCAAAGCAAAGGGATCCTTTGTTTTCAGATGTGATGCAAAATTGATACATGCTGATAAAGGGGGCGGGAAAGGATGAAATTTCTGAGAAAGGGCTCTTTGTTCAGACGATGCCACATAAAAGGCAAGGTGTGCAGGATCTGTTCAACTATTCTTTGGATTTTACTAGCAGGAATATTCAAACAATGGAATGGCTTTCTTCTTTGTGG